TATATATTAATGTGATATAGATGATATTTAATATATATATAAATAATTTGATATAAATGATATTTAATATATATAAATAATTTGATATTTATAAGTTATATTTCTAATAAGTATTCCTGGAATTTTGAGAAAAAATAATTAGCTAAAAATGCTTTTCATGTTCATTTTTTTACAATAAAAAAATCCAAGACAATTGTCAGATTGATATTTTATAAAGATAGCAGATAAATTGTCCATTGTCATTTAGCGACACATCCGGTTCTCGTATATTTTTTTTTTCCTCTCTTATATTTGAAATTTTGACAATTCTGTCACATTAAAACGATCATTTAACAGACATTAATTTAATTTATATATTGGATAAATTCGTTTATTATATTGTATTATATTTTTGTAATTTTGATGAATAAAATTAGCTAGACACATACTGTAATAATACAATTTGAATTTTTCATATTAGAAAGTTACGTTACATAGTACCCAAACCTGCGTTACGTAATTTATAGGTAGCTCAGTGTAATGAATTAGTATGTAAAAAATGGGATGTAGTGAATGTTAACATATTTTTATACAAGTTAAACTTAATTATTATTCCTTCTCTTAAAATATATATTTTTAGCCCTATTTTGCTTCTTATCATAAACGTTACGCGTACTTTATTAAATTTTCGAAAATGAAACGTGTACCTTGCGCTTCCTTAATCATTGCTTTACTCATAAATAACTGTAATAGCCGTTATCGCCTTTTCAGAGGATCACTATATAATAATATCAGTTAATGTAATGCTATCTTGGGGAACATTTCCATATATTATTCAATATTATAATAGTTAGTGAATATTCTGTTTCGCGCTGATTCAAACCCTCAACTTCGTATCATTTATACAGTAATACCCCGAACTTACGCGATAGGTGGGACCGAGCGATAACCGCGTAACTCGAATTCGCGTAAGTCCGGGTATAATTTCGTAATTTGTGTAAAATCCAAGTCGGATGTATGTAAGCTAATAAATGTTCTCGTTAATCTAATCTCGTCTTTTGATTCGTTCACGGTTACAAGAAATCACCACATAGAGTCTCTCAAGGCTCCGTAGATACAACAAACACAGAAATAGCTACAATTTATTTTGTGTTATTTATGTGTCAATTCCGCGCGACACGTCTGAACATGTAAGCTGAACAATAGTGTGAGGGGAGTGAGTAATCAAAAGTTGCGTGGCGCTCAAACAAAAGACGAATCGGCGAGATTTGAAAATCGCGTAACTCGGGGTAGCGTAAGTCGAGGTATTACTGTACTTAAAATTATTTTATTTTCATCATTGATTGGCAGTTTTATATGAGTTTTAATTATTTATTTTTCTATTAAATACATTTATTCAGCACGTTTAAAAGAAAACTTTTATTTTGACTCTCGTTTATTTTAATGGCAGAAAATGAATCAGTAACAAAATTTTAATTCGATTGAATCTTTAACTTCTATGATAATTTCATGTTAATTACGGATTACCATTAAAAATCTTTTTGTGAATGTTCATGTTAAATAATTAACGTTTAAATCGTTATTATTAATTAAACTCTGAAATATATACTTTTCATTATGAATTTGAAATTACAATTAAAAATTTCATTACAATTTTAGTATTTCCCAATTGAACCGAGACTATTAAGAACAACAGCCCTTCATTCGTTTGTAGTATTACCGCAACAAATTTTGGAATGCTCGATGATTTTAATTGTTATTGTGAAAGATTACAATGTTAAAATACTTTTGGATTCAATTTTATATTAGAATTTAACTGGTGTTTCGAATAACTTCTAGAGATGTAAATATTTGCAATTGTATTTATTTTTGAATGGTATTTCTTGCTAATATCGATTATTGTATTACAATATTGGTAATAGTTTTTAGAACGTCGATGCTGATGATTGCTTAAACATAAAAAATTACGTTTGTGAAAATTTAAATAAAACTACTAGAAAATAAAACCTCACTAGCATTTTTTTCTTTGTTTTATTTTACTACTAACAGATGTGCCAAGCATTTCCTGAGCTTAAGGTAATAAGAACAAACATTATAATTAAAATTTTCGTTATTTTAGGCCAATTCAAATTAACAGCGTTATTTCTGCAAAGCTTCCAAATTCAGAAGAGTCTATACTCCTTGAAATCATCACTAAGAACATTCATGGACCGTGTGGCCTTCATTAATTATTATGCAATGCTTACTTATGTAGCCTAATAATGAATTAAACTTAAATTATCACGAAATATCAAGTGGATGAAGTCAGGGAGAGGGGTGAGGTTTCCATGTTTTCAGCCTATATAATATGATAACTTTAGTGCCGATCGATGAAAAGATTTAGAAGTGTACACGGTGAAACTTATTTTTAATAATAATCACTTTTATAGATGATCTTAATTCATTTACATTTTATGGTAATTAACGAAATATAAATTAAATTCTTATTGATTATATTATTATTTACGGTGAGAGAATTTAATTTGACTTATAATATAATTTTATTTTTGGCATTAAATTTTCTAAAATGTTTGCTAAAACTCGACTTTCTAATGTTTGTAGAAATCTTGCAAACGATCACCTACATAATAAGCTTGTCACTTTGAGAATCGTTAAGTTAATGCAACGTTCCATTGCCTTACTCACTACGAGCTTCCCATTAAATTATTTGATAGTTTGTTAGTTTCTGAATTAGGACATTCTTGCCCATCCAATCTACGATTATCTTCGAATCGGCTAACTCTTCAGTTAAATTTAACTTCAGTCTAACTAGAAACTCTATCGTATTCTCTGCAATATAATAATTGTATACGCTTAGTTCCTCATCTGCGAGAAATCCATAGTTTTATATATGACTTATCCTTTCTAATTGTTTATATTTATGCGAAGAATTTCATTAATAAATCTTCTTCATTATGAAATTGTGTCAGATAGAAAACGCAAGAAAATAAAGTTCTGAATTTTGCATTTTTCATTTTATTGCTACAACATTAAAAAAAAAGAAAAAAAAGAAAACTTTAAATCAGTAAAATAATCAAAAACATTGATTTAAAAAATCAGTTAATAAACATTTTATTTTCTTTCTTTTAATTACTGTAAAAATTAAACATATTTCAATAGGAATTTGTTTAAAATACCCAATTTATTTTTATTGAAATAGTTTTTCGAGGTTGTAAACGTCTACGTTTAATTAGTAATTAAGAGATTCTTAAGTTCCTTGTCATTTTAATGGCAACTTAATTGGTTCTCCAAAGAAGCTAACGAACAAAGAATCTTTCTGAAAAAACGATTCTCAGAGAATAATATGTAAAATTGATGCATTCAATGAATTGATTAACACAATATGGTCATTGAAAGTTTCATTACATTACAATAGCAAGGTAATAGATGTCAGGCTAATATATTTATTCAGAATACAGATGTAAAGCTTTTTCAGAAAATAATTTATTACCTATTATTATCTAATATATTTATCATTAAAGTGTTGTTAAAGGGATAAAGGGAACTTTATTGTTTAAATGACTATATTTCATTAAAAAGTTAATATTTGACCGGTAGATAGCACATGTAATAAAAATACAACCCTATAGGAGATTCTGGTTCCGGTCCGGTTCTTCTGTATAATTTTTATGAATGGATTAACTTGGATATGTTGAATCCTGTCCCTTACTGTTCGGTTCTCCCCGTGTGGATCTGACTGAACTCTTCGTGCAAAATGGGTCTGTTCTGTGGGTATGGAAAAATGTAATAATGGTTCTTCGTCCCTTTTTGATACATTTTAACTTTAGAATAAAGAGGAAAATGTGTAAAAATTACAAAAATCCTTTAATCTAGAATCCAAATTTTGCATCGAAAAGTTATTTTCGTCAACAAAGAGTGGAAGACAGACTCCTCCGTTGAGAAATACTTCACCAGTGACTAGTCAAGCAGTTTCTTATCTGTACTTACCAATGACTAATTAAACGGGTTATTTAGATTTATGTGTCATAATCTATTCCCATGATGGACAATT